GCATCCGGATATCCGGCTGCTTTTTCCAAGGAAATGGGCATCCAAACCCGCATGCGCAGCCGCCAGCGGATATCCGTGCGGGTATCCTTGGATACCCGCCCTTTAAAACATTGGTGAGGTACCAATGTAAGACTCAAAAGTGGTTGTGAAACCCTTGTGATGAATTGAGAAGGGAAAAATGGAGGTGCAAACTCTAGAGATGATTGCGGATATCCACTATCCGCTGGCGATACCCGCCAGTGCCAGCGGGTGCGGATTTGGCTGCGGATGGCTGTTTTTCCGCCCAAACCTGGCGGATATCTGGTTATCCCAAGGGATACCCGGTGCCAAGAGAGGCAACACCGCCAGAGGAATCCCTCCCGGCAAGCTGTAACACAATCCAGCTCGCTGGGAGGGGTTCCTCCCAACAAGCTGGTGTACATACCAGCTCGCCGGGAGTGATTCCTCCCAACAAGCTGGGATGAATACCCTCTTGTCGGGAGGAGTTTCTCCCGACAAGCTGGGATGATGCCCTGGAGGTGAGTCGCAATCGCCAGCGGCAGAGGGACCTTTTCTGTTGCCGGTCGAGCTGTCACGTTGGGTCTCGTTGCGGCTGTGAGGGCGGGAGTTAGTCTTGCGGCCGGTTCAATTGCCATTGCCATTGGAGGCGGTGCTTGAGTACTGGTCTGAGTTGTCGGCCTCTCGTCGGAGAAACCCTCCCAACGAGAGGTATCATCCCAGCTCATCGGGAGAATCCCTCCTGCAAGCTGTACACAACCCAGCTCGCCGGTAGTGTTCCTCCCAACGAGCTGGTGTACACACCCTCTTGTCGGGAGAAACCCCTCCCAACAAGCTGGCCTCTAACTTTTTCTTTTTCTTTCCTTTTTTTTGGAAAAAAAAACATCTGTCCCCCTTAAAAGGGGGCGGATATCCGCGGGTATCCGCACGGTGTAAGACTCAAAAAGTGATTGTAAGATCCTTTTTGCTGAATGGAGAAAGGGATGTAATGAGCTGCAAACTCTGCCTTTCTATATTATCAGAAAACAAGGCCACCAAGGTAAGCTTGGCAGTTTGGTTGGTGATAATGGATTATGTCCAAAGATGGTTGTATAATTGAAGGTTGATCTTGTTGTCCAAAGAATTGATTGAGTTGTTGATGTTGTTTCTCGTCTTGATGTCTTGATACTCGTGCTCTTCCTTGATGCTGTATATGTATAATGTAATAGAGGTGGTTCTTGAACCCAAAGGGTCTGGGAGCACTATGCTTCAACCAGGACTGGAACAAAGGACTGGCTCTTCTGTGTAAAGTTTGTGAAACTGTGTATATATTCCAACTGTGAACTGTACTACTTGTGAACCTCTTGTGTAATAAATATCTGTGACAGGTGTCCCACCAAAAATGTGTACTGAGTGGGATAAGGAGGAAAACAACTGGCAGGCAGAGGCCTCCTTATATAGTAATTTATGAGGGATTTTAGCCCCAAGGGACCCCCTGTATGAGGCATTTTAGCTGCCCTATCCTTGAAAATCCTGAGGGGTTTTGGCTAGACTATCTACAACGCATTCCTTTTATATGTAAGCTGTAAGAAAGGAATTCATGTGTTCTGTGGCTGAATAAATGGGAATTTAACTGGTACAACTGGTGGCCAACTTGTGGTTCTGTAAGTATAAAAGGAATTCAATATGAATAAAAGGGATTCAATATGCAATATGCAATATACCCCCATTCAATATACCCTCCAGCTGAGTGCCTCTGATCCTGTGATCCTCCGTGTGACATCCTTGGTTCTGTGTAACCTCTGATCCAGTAGAGATATGAAGGTGGTTCCAGTGAGTGACTAGGGGTTAAATTGGCCATAGATTCCATTCCTGACGTCCATTTGTCCATATCTTGAGTCCTTCATTGATAAATAATAAAATTTTGAATTTTCTCCCTTCACACACAGGAATAATGACCACAACAGATACCCGCCTGCGCCAGCACATGCGGATGTCCGATTCCGCTGAAATGGTGAGCGGATATCCAAATCCAAACGGATATCCGGATGTGCCGCGCCCATCTCTAGCAAACTTTGACCTTCTATACTATCAGAAACAAGACCCCCAAGCTTAGCTTGGAAAGTTTTAATAACGTGATAGGATTGGTCGGTTCCGGTAAAAACTTTGTTTGATGAAAGGTAAAGGTTGAATATATAATTGCTGATAAAATAAGACTGTTCTTTTATGTAACAGGCAAAAGGCTTATATAATTGTTTTTAACTGGTGAGTTGTATATTGATTGACTGCTGAGTGATGAACTGAGGAGAAAACAAATGGGGGGAAGAGAGCCTCCTTTTATAGACAAATGTGAGGGAATTTAGCTCCAGGGCAGACAAGAAAGAGTGATTTCAGCTGGCCTGTAGGTACAAATGAGTGAATTTAGCTAGTCTGATCATGCAAGTGAGGGAAATTAACCAGTGAGGCTGTGTACAATCAATGTCAAAGGCTGTGCTGCAGTGCGTAAATAATGTGAGAAAGTGTCAAATGAGGCAATAAAGTGTGGGAAAAACCCAGCTGTTGTCATAAATGAGGTGAGAAAATTAATAAACTGTGGGAAAAGTAAGTCAATCAAGACTGCACAGCCTGCAAAGGCAGTGCATGAGGTGACAAATAGAACCAAACTAATTTATGTGGTGGAGATAAAGAGGTGTGGGAAATTATGTGTATACCGTGAGCTGTGTATAAGCGTACTGAGAGGTGAATTGAGAGTTATGACATGTGCTTGACTGGGTGTTGGTGTCAGCTATGTGTATGAAACTTTGGCTTAGTAATATAAGAGCCAAGTACTATCACTGTGCTGAAGGACTCAGGTTAAAGACCAAGATTACTCCTAGTCACCCTAAATGTATTAAGTGGTCCAAACTTCCCACTTAAGAGGTTATAAAGTCCACACTCCTCAGTTAAAGACACTTGAATAATCAAGAGAGCACTGTAGGAGACAATAACAGAATATGTTATTGTAGAGTGTTTGGAAGCAATAATTAATATTGCAAGAAGTAGCTGGCAAGCACCTGAGCTGAAAGGCTACAGTCAGAGGTGGTGGTCTTGCAGCAACTACTTTTTAAGGAATTAGTTAAGTTTTGAGTCTGGGATAACTCTCAACTTAATAATAATTCCAGTAAGAAGTTAGGGTTGGATTGGATAATAAAAAGACTACTCTAAAAGTAGGAGGAGAATATTCACTGTACTCACTTAGTTTGTTGGGGGTGAATATGCTGAGGAACCAATCCTAGGCAGGAGAAGGCCTCCTTAAATATTCTAGAGGTCCCCTTGAGGCCCTCCTTAGAATACTCTAGAATTTCTCTTTTAGTGTACCATGGTAGAATTATTCCCCTGATGTAATGGGAATAATTCAAGGTATTTCAAATAATGTATATTCTATGTCCCATGACATCATGATGCATATTTATAGTCAAATTACATCATGTGTCTCCTTAAATAGAATATTACTAGTAGAAAGTGCCCCACTCTTGACATAGTGTGGTAATTCTTTTCTACAAGTTTTAATAAATTGATTATGCTTGTAGAATAAAATTTCTAAGGTTACACTAAATGTATATTTAACCCTAATTTAATATACAGTGGGTGGACTGTTATTTTTGGCTGCCTGTTTTGGACCCCAGAGCTCCAAAACACAGACTTGAAGTTATGAGAATTGTTCAGGTGGTGCATAATAGGTCCCAGAAAATGAATACATAAAAATAAAAACAAAAAGTAAAGTTTCAAAATTTGTGAAAAATAAAAAATAAAACTGATTTTTTTCAAAAGCTTGGATATTCATTTTGGGGGAGTGGGAGTGCTGAGATAAAGAAAGAGTGGAACATGGGAAGAATGATTATAAATGAAAAAAATTAGAACCAAAAAAGGTTTGGCCAGGTTGGTTGTCCAGATGGGAGCCAAAACAGTAAATTCTAGTGCTTTACTGCAATGTGGGCTGGTGAATTCCCCACTCAACAGCTGTTTGAAGCCATCTGAAAACCAGTTTTTCCAAAATTTTCATTCATAATCATTCTTATCATTTCCCAATCTTTCTTTCTCTCAGCACTCCCACTCCCCCAAAATGAATATCAAAGCTTTTGAAAAAAATCAATTTTGTTTTTTATTTTTGACAAATTTTGAAACTTTATTTTTTGCTTTTATTATTTCATATTCATTTTTTGGGACCTATTATGCACCGCCTGACCAACTCTCATGATTTCAAATTTGTGCTCTGGAGCTCTGGGATACAAAACAAGCAGCCAAAAATAACAGTCCACCCACTGTACATTAATTTTATTCTATAAATATTCCTTTTATCCTTCAAGAGTTTGAATATATACAAAGTCCTTGAAGGAGTGGGAATTTGGGGATACTTCCAGTGGACAACCCCCTTTATAATCTTATGAAATATTGTTTTATTAAATAATATTACTACATATTATATTACATGTGGAGTATTTTAATACTTAATATTCATTTAGCAGTCTTTTGGATACTATGGAGTATCTCTAAGGCTGACAGTTGGCCTTGTGATATGCATCTGTAGGGGTGTAACTTCCAATCCGTGAGTGTTCCAATGATGCGTCCAGTGGTGACCTAGGCTGAAATTGTCTGTATAGTCCATTTCTGAATCTGTATTGGTTGATTTCTGAGTGAATGTATGAGAAAAAATGTATATAAAAAAAACTTTGAATTTTTTACATATTTAACTACCACAACGTCAAGCTCAACAAAGATGTGTATGCGGAAATCATCCAACATCTCAATCAAGAAATCCTCGCGTATGTCAGTTCCACCCTACCCAAGGCCAAAAAATTCAACGGTTACAAGCTCTGGCAACTCTTAAAACAAAAGTACGCCGGTAACGATCTCACCTCCAGAACCACTGCCCTCAAGAAGTTCCTCACCATAGAATACAACTCGTTCTCGTTGTTCCTTCCTCTTGTTCAATCGGCCAACCAAAAGATTGTACTCTCAAAACTTGCTCTGGATGATCAAGTGAAGACCATACTGATGCTCGACAAATTGCCTCAAGAATTCCATTCATTCAAAACCAATATCTCTATGAATTTTGAAACAGAACCGTTTGATCAAGTGTTAAAGAAACTTGAAGATTTTGCCACTCAAAATCAGTTGAATGAACTCAAGAAGACACTTAATCTGTTGCAAACAACTCTGTACACGCAATCCTCCAATCCTGAAATTGTCTGTCCTCACTATAAACACGGATTTAGAGCCTGCTCCCACTGTTTCAAAAGCAGCCATATGGAAGGTAACTGCTTTGTCAAACATCCCGAGAAACGACAGCCTAAACCAGTTGCTTCATCCTCAAAACAACACTCGACCCATCTCACTCGCTACACCCAAGAAGACAAGGAGTACCTCCAACAAAAATACCCTGATCTTCATCTTTAAAATCAAGTCAATTGTTCTCGAGCTCAGGAGGGGTGTCGGAATTTCACTCGCTCTCTCTCTCTCTTTCTTACTCTACTTGTCACTCATTTTATATATTCATTATGCATTATTTTTTGATCCCACAACGGATCAGAAGGTTGTGGAGGATGTATCGGCTAAGGGACGGAGGGAAAATATTTTGAAGCAGAAGCAAAATGCAAGGGAGGTAAGATTGATAGTTGACCAGACCGGTAAGTGCCTGAGACATGATGCACCAAATCTTCCAGATGTTCACAAGTCGTCCAATATAACCAGCTTTCATGGCAAGGTTGGCCTCCATAACTGTCGAAAAGTCGTGCAATCGATATAAAAGGGCAAAGAGCTTGGGTGAAGCTTCTTTTGAGGTAGATCGACAAGCTTCAGGGGAGAAAAATCAATTGTAACAAGCTTCAACGATTTGATTCCATTTGCAAGTTTCAATCTTCCCTGGTGTTTTGGCGACATGATCTCAAGTGGTGCCCATTATAACACTAAGATAAAAAGGCATTTCTGATTTAGTAAAGAAATCATAATGTTTATATGATTAATGACTCACCAAAGACAATGGAATATGGATGCCTCATGTATTTTTTCCATATTATTGATCATCTGGTCAAAGTCTTTCTTTGGAACATCCTTATCTGAAGGAATACCAAGAGCATGTAAGTAATGCCATGCACCTGAGTCGTTTGTCTTTGTTGGATCACCAAAATGAGCAGTTAGGATGTTTTGATCAATATTCCATAATTTGTGGGAAGCACCAAGCTGAAAGCTGATGTTGTGATGATTACCTTCAGGGTGAGCACTAGGGGTACGCAAGGCTCGGAGAGAGTTGAAGTTCTGGATTGTTCCAAGGTCATCCATGACTTGGAGGCGCGAGCAGAATTCTTCTGCCGTGAGACCAGATTGAGAAATAATGGATTCGATGACTTGCCCAATGCCTTCAGCCTAGTTGTCCAATGCATCCATGAGCTTGAGCATTGTGAGCCTGGGTCTCTATAGTGACAGCAGGACACAAGGTTTTGGGGGGGCACTTTTAAATGTATTTCTCAAGATAAAGGAAATACAAGTAAAAGTAGAGGAGAGGGAAAGAAGAGAAGGAAAAGAATAGAATAATCTTTTTGTTCTTTGTTTATTTTATGAAGAAGATTAAGTTATGGCAGTCTTACTTTCCCTCTTGGATGGCTGCAGACAGTCTTACTTTCCTTTTTAGGATGGCTGTTATAAGCGGAGCTAACTCTGACGCCTCCAAATCAACAGAAACTGAAATGGGTTATTGACACTGATGAATCAGGTCAACCACAATTTTTTAGATCAAAGATCAAGGCTCTTTAAAGGGAAACCTACGTAGTTTTCAGTTGTACTACCAAACAGGAAGAGTTGAGATAATAGAAGCTAGAGCTTGCTTTCTTTGATCAGGGCTTTGGTTTGATGAGGAATGAAGAGAGGTTGAGAGAAACTGAGAAAGAGAACAAGCAGAAACATGCTAGCTAAAACTTATAAGAAGTTACTTACTAATGACACCAATGACACTGTGTAGTGGGAAAGGTGGGAAAAGTGGAGTACTTCTGGTTGATAAGTGATGGCTTGATCTGGTTCTAGTTGTTGTGGTTCTGAGTTGTTCTGGAGTCTGAAAATCCTCTGGAAGCGGAATAAACAAGCTCAGAGAGGATTTTCAAAGTTGGATGACATAATCATTACATGTACATGTGGTTGGGAGAGATGGAATTCCAATTTGGTTGGTATTTCACAAGGTACGGTGAAATGTTACAAAGTCAATGAAGGAGAAGAGTAGTGTAAAACTGGTCAGTGGTGACCATGGTTAAAATTAAATGAGGAATTCATTTCTGAAGTCAGAATGTAATAAAATCTTAAGCTGAATAAGTTACCGTAGGAACATGGATGAAAAGGGGGGACTTAGGCAGTCTTTTGGCCAGCTTGGCTGGCTCTAAGGCTGACAAGCATCTTGATATTGGGAGGTGAGCAATCAATCGGATCAATTGATGGAGGATGAATTTGAATTGATCCATCCCTAGTGGATGGTTCCGCAATGTAATGACGCATCACTCAATCTATCTGGCTCTTCAAAACTGCCTCAAAGTGTAGGTCCTCATTGGCCGTTGGAAGAAACATGCTTGGCTGAATAATCAAGGATGAGACTTTTTGAAGAGATTCATAATAGGACTTCAAACTCAGTTCGGAGAGATCAAGAGATTCAAGAAGGGATGGATGTGGATGGTGGATATAGCCCCAGGACCCATGGAACATCATTGTTTGATGGCCAATGGAATGGGCATGGACTCGCTGTTCCATATCAAGATTATCAATACAAATACTTGGGCCTACAGGTACACCTGCAATTGGCATAATGGCGTTCCTCAGGTCTTGTGCAGCACAGGTTGACAAGAATTTCAGAGCCCTGATTGCAGTTTGTCGGGAAGAGGTGATACCCAGAAGGTGGAGATAATTGTTTAACTGGGCTGATAAACCTCCGGCAACAAAGCATATGCTGTTGTAGAGCTGCATGCTGTTGTGTAGATGATTTCTAGTGAAGGCGACCATTGAGCAGATAGTGGATGCAACCTTCAGATTTTACATATCAGCTAACCAGGTGTTGGTGATTTGCTTCTACTTGCACAAAACCAAAAGAAAAAATTGCCTTGTGGGTTCAAGTAGAAAATGCTGAGTTCCTGTCTGCAACATAAGTCACGTCGTCCATGTTGAGTATGTGGTCCTGCTTGGGATCAGCAATGGTTGGATCCACAGGTCCATCTTCATCCAGTTCATCGGGAGCCTCGACACAAATCAACATGTGTTTGATTAGATTGAATAGAAATGGCATGTGATTTTTGGTGAGAGCTTCGTCACGCTCAGATACGGCTTTTGGATCAAAGAAGGATGGTTGGACGGTATGGCTATTGTGGAAAGATCCAAGGGGGAAGTTGCCTCTGGGTGGGCTTTGAGAAAGCAAGATTTCAACACTCTGCGTGTAGAATTTTCTATCAATTGACCCCATCAATCGGCTCCATCTTGGGTCCTGGCTATTGAAGTATCAGATGGAGTATGCTCACTGGCTGAATCACTGCGGCTCCGAGGACAAGTCCACGTGGTGCGCAAACGGTGATAATCATAGTTGAAACCTAATGTAAATAGATATAGTTACTTTCTCTTTCCACTTGATTGTAACTTTCTTTTTCTCATTCAAGTTTTCACTCAAGATTATCATTTGTCACAACTCGTGCATTTCCACTTACTCGTTGCGGTCTTTCTAGGTGTGATCTATTTCAATCTTCTTCAACTCTCTTTCATCAAGTCTCATTGTTTCATATCTCTTTCTTTTCAGGTTTGCTCCTTGTTGCTCACTCTCCTTTCGGTGGTCATTTGTCTGACCCTAAGTCGGTTCTCAAAGGTGTGTATCAAATAATAATGATTCAAGTTTTCACTCAAGATTATCATTTGTCACAACTCGTGCATTTCCACTTACTCGTCGCGGTCTTTCTAGGTTTGCTCCTTGTTGCTCACTCTCCTGTCGGTGGTCATTTGTCTGACCCTAAGTCGGTTCTCAAAGGTTTGCTCCTTGTTGCTCACTCTCCTGTCAGTGGTCATTTGTCTGACCCTAAGTTGGTTCTCAAAGAACTCACAACACCTCTCCCGTCCTTCGTCCTTTACTGGCTACCTCAGCCTTGACTGCTTGAATTATTCCATGAGTCAAACTCGAGCCAGTAGAAGTCCCCCAGAAGCGCCTTCTATAGGCAATTTGGGGGTCTGCATTAGTGAGAAATCCATTGATAAACTTTTTCGGGGTCATTTGGAGGTGGTGAATGGCATCACAGATTTGGATACCTTTTTCTGCTTCGGTGAGGATTGGAACATTTTGGGGATCCATTGCTCTGATTAGATGTTATAGAAAGCTGTCTGTTGTTTTGGGGTGGTGATTTTTAAAGAGTCTTCAGAATAAAGAATATCGACAGGATCAGGAGGAAAGGATAACAACATTGGTGAATACATCAAGTATTTATAGAAAAGCATTGATACACAGAAGTTCTTACTACTTAATCCTTTGATCCATTTGTAGTTGAAAGGCGTGCCATCTGATCATCTTATCTTTTGATCTGCTTGTCGAGATCATCTTGGAGCGGATCAACAAGAGTGTATGTATGTGTATGGCAACATGCACACTTTAGTACATGGTGTCTCTGGCATTGACAGTTACAAGAATGGATGTTTATGGATTTGGAACCAGATCAATCCGGGTAGGTATCTGGCTGTCGGATAGCCGGATTGTTGGAATTTTTGTGTTTACAAACACTCATATTTGGGAGGGGATGTTTCTGAACAATCTTGCAGCAATGGGATCAGAGCTAAAAAAATACACTGAGTTGAATGGTACTATTGGCATTGCATGATTGGGTGAGGATGTGTGTCTAGACGGCCTGACGATCGTGTTTTAGCCATCTGGCTGATACCCCTCAGGCGACAGGTGGTACATTTGGTCCAAGTCCCTCCTTCGGAGGCGCTTCGCGCATCCGAAGGAGGGGGGACTTGCGTTAAGTTCGGTTCCCTCTCGGCCGGCGAGAGTCGTACACTCTCAGCGACTGAGAGAGGTTGCAGCTGGTCGCTTGGCCCTCAGAGACTCGGAGGGTCTTGATAACTGGATCACCACCGGCACTGGTATGTTGAATGTAGCCCGATTGGAAACCGCTCATACCAGCTCACACGAGCGATTCCGGTTGATTGAAAATCGAATGAGCCCTGATCTG